TTAATTGAAACGATCACAATAATAAAAAATGAGAGAGATTTGTGGAGTGAAATTAGAATGTGATAAACATGGAGGATATGGGGAGTGAGAATTGTGTATCCAGAAATTGTTGTGCTCAAAATAAGGGATTTTGAATTTTTTTCAAAATAGTAGGGAATAATGAAAATTATGAAAACAAAATGTGTGTATATATATGTAATTTTTCCATAATTTTATTCTTTCTATGCATAATTTTCTTTATTGTTATCTTCGTTGCTAATATATTTTAAATTAGTTTATACTTTTCAATGTTTAGATATATTATTTGATTTGAATTTGTAAAATTTATGAATTTTTTTATTTTGTAGTCGAACAGAAGTCACAGTTACATCAGGTCGAAAATTATAACAATTTACTTTATAAATATTTTAATTTGTATCCAAATAACTATAGGCTTGAATCTTATCAGACTGACTATATTGATATTTCAATAAAAATATTTTGTACTCATGTAAAATTAACCGCTTAATATGAAGATGGTTAGCTAAACACATGAAAATCAAATACAATATGATGACTTTCTCTTCTAAAGGCAGGGGTGAAGACTCCATTGTGACATTAAGTAAGGAATTTGAGGAAATCAAGGCGCATCCACTTCGTCATCTCAGCCTATTTATATGCAATAGGTAGAAAAGATTCTGCCTTTCTAGCCTCGAGTAGTGAACTACACATTTAATTAACATTTATAATTTACAAGTTCCAAACCTATGACCTAGGTAAAAGTAAAAATATATTTGATCTCTTTTTCAATCATTGTGTAATTTTAAGAAAATCGAAAGAACTAATTAATTAAAATTGAAATAGAAGAATCAATTTTATCTTAGTGTGTTTTGGTTTATAATTTTGATAAATCATCATATTAGGTTTAATTATTTTTAATGAAATACCAAATCATTCCAACCTGTGATTTTACAAAAAATATATTGTTATAATGAATTCTATTTTATGTTATAGGTAGAATGTTATTATACGAAAATAAATAATATAAAAAATATTACTTTTTGAAGAAAATCAGTCCATTATAAAAAAATCACCTTAAAAAATAATCGACCCTCATAGAAAGATTTAAAGAAAGAGATAAATAAATTAAAATTACTTTAATCAAGTGAGTGAACTAAAATAAATAAACAAATACGACATATGAAATGAACACATGGAAGTAGTGTAATGTTTTTGTTCTTATATAAACACCAAAACAATTTCAGTTACTTCACTCTTTTGGCTCTTTCCGTCTAAGTGTGAAATGCACTGAGCTAAGCTACCTCTTCAATTTCTTCTACTCTCATTCTCACCGATTCAATCCACATTTTTCATACTTGTTGCTGAGGAGACACAATTTCAGTATGGACAGAGGTGATACTTATCAAACGGTGAAAGACGATTCCGGCGACATCGCCGGCGGTGGTGAAACAGTCACCATAAACATCCGATGTGTCAACGACTTCAAGTTATCTGTTCAAGTCAGCCTTGATTCCACCATCGGATTATTCAAGTCCATCCTTTCCCAGCCGGCTGATATCCCTGCTAAGGAGCAGAAAGTTATCTATAACGGCTGGATCTTAAAGGATGATCAAACCCTAAAAAGCTGTGGTAATAATTAATTTCTCTTATCTAAATATTTTTTTGCTACTCTATTTGTAATGCTGAATTATTTGTGTTTACTTTTTATTACTCATGTTTCTGATCAATCAATCAAATGTACCTCAATTACGAACTTGTTAGGGTTTGTGATAGTAATGTTGTAAACATTGTTAAAAAATAATTATTTAAAAGAACATTTGTATTTTTTGTAACTTGTATGTTATATAGAGGTGCTTGTTAAATATCTGAAAGTTCATTTTTTTTTGGGCTTTAACTACTGAATGTGGAGAAATGTACTTCGGTTTGCTTGGGATTGTATGCTAATGCATTTTCCTGTTCTGAGGAGTACTTTGAATTATTTGTTCATTGTGGAAAATAATGCATTGAGAACTGTTTTAACAAGAAAAAGAAATAATGCATATAGAAGTTGTTTCCTGAAATGGAGGAGAACCTGGTTTTAGAAAATAATTCATTGGAACAATTAGTGGGTGTTGAGATTGTGGATATTCTTAGAATGTAGAAGTATCTTCTTTGACGGTTGTGAAGGAGATATCCTGCAATTGAAGGGAGTAGTAATTTTTGAAAGCTTACATTCGACTCCTACATACAATACTTGACGTCATGAGCTCATTCGCTCCATCTTGATAGGTAGGATTACGTTGACAAAATATTCCTTAATTTCTCGATTTAGAAGTGCGAATTTAATCTCTGTGTGCAAATTTAACCTCTTTGTTTGTGTTCTTTCCAAAATAGATGGAAATAATCGATAAGTTGTGTGTTAATGCATTAGGACCAAATTTTGATTCTAATAGATTTAAAATCTTGCTTATTTGTTACAATATGCTCCCTAATCTGGCATGTTTTGTCTTGGGATAAGAAATAGGTAAAGGTCAATAAGTGGAAAAAAGTAATATAGAGGAATGATGCAGTAGTATTGGGGTTTATTTTGCTTTTATTAGAGTATGAAGCTGTGTACGTGGATCTGCAATAGCAGGGAATCTGCATATTTGTTGCAGTTCAGTTTCAATTTTACTACGTAGATTTGATTTAGCATGTATTCTCTTGTCTTTAATATGATGCTACTTAATGTCAATTATGTTGATCTGATTCATGATTGATTACTTATAACCACATAACATTCTGCATTGAGCTTTGGAATCTTATACTATCAAGATGCATGGAGCTTCTACTTTATCTGCTCTCTTGTTGCTTGTTATTAGCTGTTAGAATAAGAATCATAGTAAATTCAATTTTAATATTTGTGGCGATCAGGTCTGGAGGCAGACCACACAGTTCATCTTATTCGAGGTTCTGCCGCCGCTGCTTCTGCTAGTGCAACCAATGTTGTAAATCCAAATGCTAATCAGGATGCTCCCAGGGTGGCTGTTCCCACTACAGGGGGGCTGTTTGTCAGAGTCGGATTGTTTTAGAGAGATTGTCAAAGATGCACCAAGAGGTCACAGGCTAATCAATTGAGTTTATAAATGTAGTGTCTCTATGTGTTGAAAATGTAGATGCGGTCTTAGTGGCTTAGTGTAACCATTCTCATTAGTGGTCGTACTGATTACTGAAATGACACTAAATATTAATGTTGGGCATCAGTAAGGAAAAAGAATAAAAACATTTACTATGAAAAACAAAGGGGAAAATAGCAACAGAAAAAATCAAACAAAAAAATATTGTCTATTTGTTATTCGTTTCTCTTATTGGACACCATTGAACTACTTTCAACCCTTGCAATTACTTTTTTAGATTCATTTTCTTACTAATCTAAATAAGCTCAGCTCCGACAATGTTAATTTATCAAAAATAAACTTTACAGATTTTAGTGTCAAGTATGACATGATAGACATTGTCCTTCAGATTTTATTATTTCAATACAGAACTATACTGCAGATTTTATTATTTATGTGTCTACTGTCACGACCCGCCTGATACCCAGGCAGATCGCGACCCGTCTAGGCAGCCAGCAGCCTGTGCAAGGGGATAGACAACCCAAAACGGCCAGCAGGCAGAGGGGCAAGCGTCCAAGCAGGCAGCAGACAAAGAGTCAGGCGTTTCAGCCGTTACAGGCAGTTTCAGCAGTTACAGCCGTTTCATCAGTTACGGCCTTCCAGCCTTGGAGAGGCTTGTGCAGGGCCTCTGGAACTTGGGGCAGACTAGGGAGCAGCTATGAGTCCTTTTTGGAAGACTTAGAAGCATGTCTTGAGGGCATGGACTTAGAGGCTTGTATATAGTGTAGCATTTATTTACTCTTTGTGTTTAGAGTAGTATAAATAGGTAGTCATTGTATTTGTAATACATCCACCAACATATGAATACAAGTCTTTCTTCCAAAATCTGCCTTTGTATCTCTTTCTTATTTCTCTTAGCGATCCAAAATTGTGAGAGGCTTACTTGAGTTTGCGAGATACGTGAAAGAATCGTGAGCAAACCGTCAAGTGCCGCACGGAGTCTTGTCTGAATCGAAAAGGCCGTGACAAGGGGAAAATAGCAACAGAAAAAATCAAACAAAAAAATATTGTCTATTTGTTATTCGTTTCTCTTATTGGACACCATTGAACTACTTTCAACCCTTGCAATTACTTTTTTAGATTCATTTTCTTACTAATCTAAATAAGCTAAGCTCCGACAATGTTAATTTATCAAAAATAAACTTTACAGATTTTAGTGTCAAGTATGACATGATAGACATTGTCCTTCAGATTTTATTATTTCAATACAGAACTATACTTCAGATTTTATTATTTATATGTCTACAGACTTTATTGTTCATTGAAACTGTTTTCATCATCATTTCATTAAATATTAGAATATTAATATGTCTATTTATTTCTCTTGAACATGATGTATGTTTTTATGTCAGATTACTGTTAAGTGTCACTGACATGTTTTCTGATCACAATATAAGACATTTCGGATTGAAGATTTTTCATCTATATAATTTAAAAGTCATTATGTTGCCCATTTGGAGGTACCAAGGGTTTAAAAGAGAAATCCTTTTGATATGTGTCTGGAAATAGTTGTTTTTAAAAAAAAAAAAAATTGCGTTTTGTTCATCTTCAACAAAAAGACGCGTGATTTTATTCATATGTTTCTGGACATAGAGCATGATGTGTGCATAATTCTTCGGGTATGTTCTTCCATCATTCCTTTCTATTTTTTTACAATCGTTCTTTGTCCTTTTAGGAATATCTGGTACAACAAGGGCTATTTCTTTACCTTGATCAGCCGCAATCAAACCAGTAAGTATGGACATATATCTATGGATTTTCACTTGGCTGGAGAATCTCACACCTCCTGATTCAGCTGATATGATGATATGCATCTCATTGTCTCATTATTACTCATTGTTTCTTGTCCTACAAGTCACCAAAGGAAAAAGAAATATTACTTAGATTCATATTTCACTTGCCAAAAAATAGTCTAAGCCTTTCTAATTAGGTTGGATAAAAGATAAACTTGTGAGTGGCTCGAGATTTTTACTCTGATTATTATGGGTAATTTTCTGCCTTGCGTCTATCACTTCTGATAAAGTATCTTTTGCGCATGCAGAGAACAAGATCAGGACGAAGCTGACGAAACAGGTAATATCATTCTATATATTTCCCAATTTGATATCCTTGTAACTTTAAATATACCCTTAGGTTTGGAGGGAATGATCTCTTGATTTAGGAGCAAATAAATCCTCTTACAATATTTTACAAATGTTACTTAAGTCTAGTATTTTAATGCAAAACTAGCCTATAAGGAGCAATACACTTAATATTTTTGTGATGCACATTATTTGTGATGTTTCATATAAATGGACAACTTCTTTGTATTGTTACATGGTATATGAAATTTGAGATTTTACAAGGGCAACAGAACTGATTTGGATTTATACCTGTTAGGAGTTCATTTTTTTGTTAAAAATATTGATTGAAATTTATAGGTTGAGAATGAGGGTTTGGTGGGAATATAGAAGACACAAATTCAGATAAAATATATAAATGTCAGAAATGAACTGTACAAAAGAGTGATATTAGTATGCTGAATGCTTATTTTAGATGATACTCTTTAATTGGTGAAATTAGCGAGAAAGTCAATTGAGGTTGGAACAGTTGGAACTGTGACGAAGAACTCTGGTTTTAGCCTTTTATTTAGGTTAATTAGAAATAAAACAAACTACCTATAAAAAGTAGAAATTTGACAAACTATGTTCACTGCAAGTTATAATAAGATCACTCGAATGAGATCACTAGATGAGATAGTGGTGCCCAAATGTAGAGAGTGGAAATATTTGCTCTCATATTTGAGGAGAATGATATGATTGATGAAGATGTGACACAAGCTAAAAGAGGATTGTGGAAACGGAGGAGTGCTAAGAAAGTTGTGTTATACGTGAACGCTTAAATACAAGTTGTATGCAATGGCAGCGAGATCAGAGATGTTATATGGGAGTGATTGCGAGTAATGTAAATCCATGTGTATCCACAAGATAAATTTCCTAAAAATTGCGTGGATATATAGTCATACGGGGTCATTGAGATTAGAATTATCACATCTGACCCAAAAAACACATGATAAGATGAGAGTCTGGCTTTCTATGTCCTATATAGACCTCCACATGCATTGGTCAGTATGTGCGAAAACATGATGATTGAAGGTGATAAAAGAAGAGAGGGATAAAAAGTTGTATTTGAGAGACTTGTAGATCTCGACATCAATATGAATTTAATGTCAGATCATAATACAATAGAAGCAAAGAATCTATACATGAGTTACTCTTTTATCAGGTCAAGTCTTTGGTAGGAATCTCTTTTTGTTGTTGGATACTTGTTTGTTCGACTAACGGGATTTAGAGAAAGTCTAGTTCTAGGCAAAAATCTTAGTGTTTATTTTTTAGAGTTAGGGAATCTAATAATTGTGTGTGATTTTAACTCACATCAACTGTGGGTGACTTTAATAATTACAGAATATCAGAACGGGGCAATGGAAGTGGCGAGGAACGTGGTTGATAGTACTCTAGACAGGCCAAGTTTGCATGAATTCCCCGGATTAAATAATTGTTAGTTTATTTTTCGTCTTTCTCATTCTCTCTCTATATATCTCGGACTTAATTCGGATGCTCATATTCCTGTTGACATCTTATTGCAGTAGGCCCAGAGGAATTATATGCTATGCTGTTTCTCCAGGTCGTTAGACTACATCGGATTCTTTGACAGTGAAGAAGCACTTATTGCCGTGGAGGAACTTGAAGAAGACAGTGGAGAGTAGTGTATGTATATTCTCTTTTTATGACTATATATATATATAGAGAGAGAGATCCAGATGAAATTGTTGATGTAGACAGAAGAAAAGGAGATTGGTGGAGGAACTAGTTCTTCAGTTTATTGTACATGCTATGTTAAATTGTTCATTATCATATGATTTTATTGCCTACTTTCCTGTAGCATTTTGTTTTTGCTTTGCTAGGTGGATTCAATTTGATCATAGAGTTTCCATGCAACGACTAAGCTTCGAAAAAGGGTCAAAAATATCTCTAACCTACCCAAAAAACCTCACAAACAATTTTATCTAAAAATACTGTCAATTACTCATTATTGTTGGTGCAAATATACTCCTCTTCCCCTCCCCCCCCTTTGATTAAAAAATACCTTTATAATATTAATAATGTTGTATCTAGAATTCAGTAATTTTCCTTCAACAATCTATATATCCATAGTCCAAATCCTCAATTTTCCTATTAATCAAAAGTGATAAAAAGATTTACATAACCTTTTAATTCTTAGATTGTTATTAATATTAAATATGTCTTGTTTTAAAAACCTGGTTAATTTTGATTCTTATATTTCATAATTGTGGCCGGCAATTGCATTATTACAATTGATATTTGGTTGCATAGGATTTCTAAGAAATTGTAGGTACTTGATGATACATAAGGAGGTGAACCTTCACTAATACTAATTAGTCTAATTAAGAATTGGAGGCACAAAATATCGAGCAAAATATCACTTAGCTTCTATAATATAGAGCTATGTATGTACTCTTGTTTTGTATCTCTAATTTTTGTTGTTGTGATTGAATAAGTTTAAACCTACTCTACATAAAACATCTCATCTCGCGCATTTGCCGCTCAAAACATTGTGTTCAATTCCGTCCATAATAATTTTATTTGGACTTTGTTGGAACATTGTTACTTTTTGAATTGTATTATAAATATGATCAGCTACCAAAATAGACACTTTATGAATCTTAAACATCAAAACGGATTCTCTCTAAAAACATACGTCAAAACGGACGTTTGCCCATTATGAGCTAACTATAACTGTGATCCTTTAACACTGTCATTCTCATTAACACTCACTCACTTCATCCAAAATAATATATTACGTCAACTTTAAAAGTAGTCCGCGCTCTACAATTCTTTTTATATCTTTCTCAATTTTAAATGCATTATGAAGTTTTTTCAATACATAAAATCATGACTGTTTTTTTCAATAATAAAAATATGGAAAAACTTGAGCATTTGTTTTCATAAAATAAAATTTTCTATTATTTGCTTGCAGCAGTAGTAATAAACTAATAATACTGATAGTAATACTAATAGTTATAGTAATTTTCAAAAAATAAATGTTGCGGTTCATTCAAATACGGGCATACTCTATTATATTTTTTTAGGATAATTAAAACCAACTAAATAAGGCAAAACGACTTCGTTTTTTTTTATGAGCATATGCTTTATCCCCACAAAAAATAATCGCATTCACTATTTTTTTGAACTAATAAAACAAGAAAACCAGTAAATATCCAAAGAACTTGAGGTGAACAGCATAATATGTTTTGTACCTTTGAAAGTGCACAACTCCAAAACTTATGGCCATAATTTCTTGGAGTCCTTAATGTTTTCATTTTGCAAAATACTCTTTGCTTTTACAAATATCTAGTCCAATTGAATATCTAGACTTTTCGAATTATTAAAATATAAATGTTAAATTAAAAAAATTAAACTATATATATAGTATAAAAAAAGTAAAAGCTGAATGAGAAAATGTGAAGCAAATAATACATATTTATTATTGAAGAAAGGAATAAAACTTCACATGAGGAAGAAAAATATGTAGGTTATAGTAAGGAAATAATATAAAGAAATTATAGTTCCCCTATTTTAAAGTTTGTGAATATTGTTTTGCATGGATCTAGAGTTAACAAGGATGATCAATATTAAAGATGGTAGTTATAGCTCGTCCATTTATAAATGTATTGTCCATTTTGGTGTGTGTTATAAGAGTTTCTTTTGATGTTTAGGGTTCAAGAAATGTTAATTTTAATGCTGGACTTGCTACATGCATGCATGCTATCCTTAGAGAAATATGATAAGCTGTATTCTCAAATGATCAATTAAGTGGTCTAATGATTAGAGAAATATTGAGAATTTTGTTGTGGTCTAATGATTACTAAATTAAGTGGGCCGAGAATTACAATATCTTAATTTAAAATACAATAAAAGTAAAAATAATAGGTTATTTCCCCCTAATTGTCCCTAATATTGATGGGGGAAAAATACATGATATCATATTGTTGATGGAAGATAACAAATATCCTATAAAATTAATCAACATAATCAAATACTACGATATAAAAATAATATAAATTTTTCTAAATTGCAGGCTTTAGGACAAGGCATGAAATATGAATCCTTAAAAGAAACAATTCAGGACAAGAAATAAATCTTTAAAAGAACAATTTAATACAACAAATAAATCCTTAAAAAAAATTAGGACAAAAAATAAATCCTTAAAATATCAATTTTGTACAAGAAGTAAATCCTTACAACAACAATTTAGGACAAAATATAAATCCTTAAAAAATTTCATTTGACAAAATATCTTAACATCAACATTGTATCAAAATTTAATTTAATTATGCCGATTAATTTAATTAATAAGGAATCCTTTCCAACAGTTTCGAAAAGTAAGCACTTATAAAATTATCATTAAACTTATTTATGTCTAAAGGAATTGTCATTACTATTTTAATTTGTTACACATATTCTAACGAGTGAAAACTCTCAATTTTTTCTTATATGTATTATTTTATTTTATTAAACAAGTGAAAAATCTCAATTTTTTCTTATATGTATTATTTTATTTTATTAAACAAGTTAAACTCTCAAATTTTTCTTATATGTATTATTTTATTCTATTACAGTATAAATTAAACATGAGTTATTGACAAAATGTAAAACAATAAAAATGGAAGCTTATTCTTTTTAGGGATCTATAAGCAATGAATTATCAAAATATTATCTTAGCTACGAAAAATGTAACAACATTCAACTATTTACTGTTAATTTTCTATTTTAATTTTCGACTTTCAAATTTTTTTATTTAAGGTGAGGTCCTTTGTAAGTTGATACTATATCACTTTGTATTTATTCACCTCTGTAACGACCCTCTTAGTCGTTTTAGAAATTCCAACTATTATTTTATATTAATCTTTTTAATAGTTTTGATAAATAATTTATGACTTATAAGAGTGACTGATATGATTCTCTGATTTAATAAAGGATTATTTTGTTGCTAATAATAATTGGAAAAAAAAGAAAAATAAATAAATAGAAAAGAAAATTAAGTAAATAAATAAAATAATAATAATAACAATAATAAAAGGGCAAAGTGCCCTAAAAGGTTAGAAGCCTCAAGCGGCTAAAGTTGAAGAAAAAGAACGAACAGAAACAAAAAAAAAACGCAGATAAAGAAAAGAAAAAAAAGGGAGAAAAGAAAAGGAAAAAGGAGGAGAAATAACGATATTTTTATCTCGAGATATCAAGGTAATTATTCTTATCCTTTCTATTAAATTTTTGTGTAACTAGGAATAGATTTTTAGGTTAAAACGTGTATAATTTATACTAATATGTGAACTTAGGGTTATAAATATGTATAAGTATTATGGTTCAATCACTGGACAATGATTACTCCAAGATTAGGATTATTAATAGTGGAACGATAAATATGAATTGGAACATTGAAAATAAGTGGTTTCGGCAGATTGTTTTGTAGTCCGCCATTGATGTGTTGGGCAGTTAGTTTTGGCTTTAATTATTTTCATTTGATTATCATATTAAGATTCAAGTTTTGATATATTGAGATATGTGTCAAATAGTGGGTGCATTATGATATATAAAAATCATTATAATTATGTTATTCGGAGAATTAAGATTTAACCCTAAACTTGAAATTCAGAAAAG